CTTAGCTTCTTCCTCTTGCTGCTGATTTTTGCTCTTGCATATGATTGCTTCATGTCCCATTTGATTGCACTTGTTGCATTTAGCATCAGGTCTTTGCCAGCATTTGAATGGAGCGTGACCCATTTTGCCACAATGCTGACAAGGTGGGTAACTTTTCTTTCCACCTTTTCCTTTATCGTAACTGCTGGCTGGATAATTCTTCTTGTAGTTTTTGGCTTGTTGGCTTTTGACTAGAAGAGCACCTTCAACAGCATGATCTTCCCTCATTAAACTTCGTTGCTCTTGGGCTTGGAAGGCATGTAGCACTTCTGCAAATGTGATTTTAGACAAGTCCCTTGTGTTCTCCAACGAAGCAATAGATGCTTCATACTTTTCTGGCACTGTTACCAGAATTTTCTCAACAATTCTGGAATCAGGAAAATTGCTGCCCAACAACCTTATCTTGTTGGCAATACCTAACAATTTGTCTGAGTATTCTTTGATTTTCTCAGACTCTTTCATCCTTTGCAACTCAAATTCCCTCATTAAATTAAGCACTTGCATGCTTCTTATTCTTTCATCTCCAGCATACTCTTCTTTAGATAGTCCCAAATTTCTTTTGCTGATTTAAGAGTCATAATTCTTGTGAAGATGGTTTGAGAAACACCAGCAAATAGACATGTTTTTGCCTTTGCTTTTCTAGTTTTTCTCTCCTTGTGCAAAGTTATATGACATTCGTATGTCATATCTGATGAATCAGTATTACATTGTGCAATACAGTTTTATAAATACAAGGTAAAGATTGATAAGAAACATACCAATGCTTGATCAGAAAGCAGGCCTCTATCAGGGAAAAATAAATATGCATGTGCTTCCTTATCTGCTCGCCCAACCCTTCCACGCAACTATCAACATTGAACATATGAAAAATTACCAATATTAGTGAAACAGTAATAGATGATCTGTGTGGTCTGGTTTCCTGTGTAACTTAAGGAGAAGAAAATAATCTCTCATACTATTGATTGATAAGAATTACATGAAATTTATTTATGCAGAGCTGGTTAGGAAAGATCCTAACCACCCTGATTACAAAATAAATATAAGAATAAGATGGGGAGAAAATAAAGGACAATAAATTTAAAACAAAACTGAAGTATCTGATCTTGATCTTAACTACCTAATATTCTAGAATTCATATTTGAAATTTAAATTTAAAATATAGGCACAGACAACTGTCAACAATCTGTTCCAACTTCCAAGAAAACAAAATGCATATGTTCTTTTGTTTACTTCTGTTTGGATAACAACTCCATAAATATTCATTTATTGCTAAGAGCTACATCATATTTGTCATGCATTAACTATCCTAAAAGCTTAAGCAAATGCTCAAGATTGGTTTAACATCTCTAACATGTTCCCTCATGCAAGAGTCTTTAGAACTTGTGTTCTTGCACAGGCCCACTCTACTCTGTAGAGATATTCAGCCTTTTATTCAGAAGAATAGATGACAAGTTTTTTCCCATATATGCACCCTATATGTTAGCCTTGGGGCTTCCAAATTGCACTTCATTGGGTGGCAAACAAAGGGAGGTTGGTAAGTGATAGACCCAAACCTGAGTTAGGCAACAATTTGAAATGTTATTTGCCCGATTAATTGATATTTGAGCAGCATTGGCTTTAGAATATTTTATGAATGATTTGAATTATGTGATCAGAAGAAAAATGAGGACTTGTGATCTGCAAACTGTGCCCAGAGGCATTCATTTAGTCAGAATGGTGGTAGTATGATGTTGGGTTCAAAATAAATTGAAATCTGATAAAGCCCCAATTTATGTGTTTGGCATGAGGGAATAGGGTGCAATATTGACTCATTTGGTCGATTGTTATGTGTAAAGTTGACCTGTGTTTTCAGAGACGTTGTGAGATGCATTACCAGTAATTTAAAGGTCATTGAGCCCAAAATATAATAAAGCACTTCCAACAATAAACTGCTTAGATAATGTTGACAAATGCAGCTCAAGAGTGACCATATGGAATTTTGCACTTCCTCAAACAAATATCTCATAAAAGGATTTATTTAACAATACCTATAAAATATATCATTAGTTCATTACTGTATCAAAATATTTCAGAGTATCTAAGGTGATCTCTAGGAGCAGTTTCCATAATCATTATATTTCATTGTATGTTTCCTAATTTTATTAGTATAAATAAGGGTTAGTGATTTGTCCTTTTATATAACACCAATAAGCATAAGGGTATATTATACTTAGTCTTCATCATCCTTGTTTTCCTCTTCTACCTGAACCCTTATAATTTTGACATTTCACATTCAATTTATTTCATAGTTATCAAAAATACGCATGTTTAAAACCATATTAAGTTGATAGTGAGAAGAAACATCAATTACTCCAGCAGAGGATCTGATATATGAAAACAAACGCTAGTGATCTGTATAAATGAAAGTATCAGCTAGGGCATTATAGTCTGTGACAGTGCAATGCATAATACACGACAAATCTAATAACAACACTCAGTTCAAAGCAACATTAGGAATCAGAAACAGAAAGTATGAGAACATCCAAACCAAAATAATAAGATGAAATTAGGAAGAACGAAACCTGGTACAACTGTGCAAGGCCAAATTGTTGAACATCCTGAATGATGATGGTATTTGCATTTTGAATATCAAGCCCACTTTCTACTATATTTGTGCTGATAAGGATTTTTATTTCACCTAGAGCAAACTTCTCCATGGTATCCTCTAATTGCTTCGAGTATATCTACACCAGATACACAGTCAAATGCATACAATTAAAGTCAAAATATCATAGTCAAATGTGTAGTTATATGATGCATATATACACTTTTGATGTAGGACAATTAAATTTTGGAGTTGAACAATCCAAACAGATATTTTTATCATAAGAAAAACTTTGTGGACTGAGTATTTATATGATGAACAAGTGCCCTCAAAAGATCCAGGAGACATTTATCATGGCAGAGGCAGTGTGTGCCACACCATTGGATTTTAAGTAGCACTATTATCTTGCATTGAATAAAAGGAATAAATGAACTTGTATGAGTGAAGTAGATATACTTTTGTGAAGCAAGGATTAACTAAAATTGCACTTTTGAAATGTTCTTGACAAAGCAGCTAGCCAGCATCCAGTATAGATGATGACAAGTCAAGCACTTAAAGGCTTATATTTGTTAATAGAATGACAGACACAGCCAACAAGTACAAAACATGTAAGCAACATCCAGGAATATAGTGCTTCCCAGATAAGGATGGAAAGGATGGAAACATTACATTTCAATTTCCATAAAAACATGCAAGTGTGTAACTACCTTCCCATGGGCAATGGCTATTTCCACATGTGGAAATGACTCAACAAGAAATGCCATTACTTCATTGAGTCCTGTAACACAACAAGTATTGAGAAACCAGAGTCAGTATTGTAATACACACTAGACAAATTAGCAAGCATACATTAACAGCACCAACACTAGTAATCTCCTTTTAGGTCTGTGGTGGTCTGTGGTCATGAAATAGTAAAATTCTTGTGACAGGAGCAACACCAAATTTGCACAAAGCATATTCACACTAATGATAGACTTTAGACCAGCTTCTTTATATCATATATTTATATATCAGCAGGCTTGTCAGGAATTGAAATCTCAAGTTTGTTGGCCTTGCTTTCTCATAGTTTATCCCCACCCATAAGTTGTTTCTTGTAATGTCTCAAAGGATTTTAAGAATATGTAAGGGTGTTTTTGGTTTATTTTTGTTACGTTTTCATTAATATTATAAACTTAAGACCTTGGTTTTACTCTATTTCTTGTTTTCAAGAACTTTCACAAGAAATGTTGTGTTGGAAGGAGGTGCATAAGCTTCATGTGTTGGTGACAGCATGTGAGGAGGTTCCTGGCCACACTGCTTCAAGAACCAGCTAATCTTGGTGGCACAACTCCAACAGGGGCATTGCCAGTTTGATCAAAGAAACTCCAGCAACGAACAGTGGCAGTAGAGGGCAGTGGAGTCACCAAAAAATAGGTACAACCATGTGATGAAGACATTGAATATAAGGTACAACTGTGCAATGAAAGCAGCCTAGGGTTCAGGTGCTGCAATGTGCTCCAACCATACATTATAATGTTAAAACTGATATAATATCAAGTGCTCCAACCTTATTATGTTAAAAAAAAAAAAGGTATAATCTATGGTGCTAAATAATATGGAATATCATGTTCAAACCATAAATGATTTTAAGAAAGGAGAATTGGTGTTAAAGAACAATTTATTGGAATACAGGTTCTGTATTGAAGGCTTAAAGCATATTTAGCCACTAATATTTGTCTTGGTCAATTTGGGTAGCCTAATATCATAAAAAAGAAATCCTGAGCATGGCTTTCAATCCATGAATTGATGTAATGCAAGGAAGCCAATGTTCAAAACTCTAGTTACTTTTACTTATATTGTCAAATTAATTGTTTTCAAGTTTCTATTTCTACATTCAAATTTGCCCTGTCCCTCCAAATCTCAGTTACTAATATTAATCTTCTTATTTATTGAATTAACTAGGCACCTCTCCTTTATAGTGTTTAACATTTTTTAACCTTAAATATTCATCTGTCCATCATTTCTCTTTGGATGTTGAATAGTAGTGCTCCTAAAACTCCGAAGGGTTTGTACTATTTTTTTTTACAGCAAGGGTGCGTACTATTAAAGAAAGGAAAATGACAGTCAGATGCAGCTTGCCGGATCACAATCTATAACTAATTAAGGTTACTACATTCTACCTTCCATCTCATGAGCCTTCCACTTCATTTCCATAAAAAATTTGGATTGTTACACCAAACTGCGATCAGGAATTATAACCATCTGGCTTGCCTATATTGCAGCATCGCATCCTTACCCTTTCTGGATTCCCTGTAAGGGAAAAATTACATATATTCCGAGTAAGCTTTGCTGGAAGGATTTAGAAATATCCAGAAGCTGATCTTTTATTAAGATCAGCGTACCCTTGCTTTAAGTTTAATAAGAAAAAAAATGTTATTATTTAAAGCTGTTACATAGTTTTTTTGGAACAAGTTTAGATGAAAAGATGTGCATCAAGGTATTTTACAGAAGAGAAGTTGCTGTATGCCCTCAGAAAGGGTTTCAAGATAAGGTTGTAGGCTAATGAAGCTTGCCGTTAAGCATTTTAACTTAATAATCAGTTATGCTTATACTGATAAAAATTCTAATAGTATCTTCAATATTTCTTCCTTTTTCCCCTTACTTCATTTTGGTGCATTTTATCAGTTTTAGTTATTCAAATCATTCTTCTTTCATGGATGAATGAAAACTCTATCCATAGAAACACTTAAGAATAATCAGCTAGAACAAGATTGACACAAACAACACCTTTTACTGCCAAATAAACACAAAAGACATTGCATAAGGTAATAATAGCCAATAGGTCTTATACACAATACGTCAGCTTACAGACAGATGTCTGTATAGAAATTATTAGCCAAGAATCACCTTTAATACGTGGTAGAACATAAAAAACTTGACCACCACGGTCCAGCTCATACTTGATGGCTGATATTACTTTGTCCTCACTGAATGAAGAAAGGTGAGTCCTGATGGGAACTCTTTCCGGAGGTGGAGTTGAAATTAAACTGAAACAGAAATTAATAGAAATTACAAATTTACATTAGCATTATACTTGAGCTCAGATGTTAGGTGATCTTAAGTAGCGTCTGATTAGTCCTAAGTTCAATAGAAGGAGCCAATCACGCAAAAGATGAAGTTCCCATCTAAGCACCCAAAAAAACACAATGCTTGGCAAAACTGGAACCAGAAGACTAAGGTGCAAATAAAAATGTTCCGTGTCTTTCTAAGAGCAGCAGAATTTTGCAGGGGGACAATTTTACTGTCACAGAGGCTTGTGTTTAAGATAATTTTTCAATATTCTGGGGGGTTGATGAACCAACTCCCTTTTAACTAAGATAGTTTCATAGTTAATAGTTATGCGTTTGACTCTATTTTTCCTCATCACTCACTTATTATCATTAAACATTATGGATGTCCTGCTATACATAATTTTGTGAGGAAGGAGGGAGGGGGAATAACTTAACATTCAAGTACAAGGGATATTACACTGTTTCATCGTATCTTTTCTCAAAATTTATTTTGACTAGGATCCTTCTTTTTTTTCCTCTAGTTTTCTGGAATGGATAAAAGACAACCTCATTGTCATTGTGCATAGCAGAATAGACAGCTTAAAAGAGTTGCAAAAAAACCAACTCTTAAAAAAGCTTAAGCTATCAGGCATCTGCCATCCGGTGAAGGCTTGTGAATGGTTTTATAGCTAATATGCCCCTTCACAAATCAGCCATTTGAGCTTGTAGTGTGCCTAATTCATAAGCTTACCCTACCTTGAGCTAAATTTTAACTATTTCTTTAGAAGAATATGGGCAGGATGAATCATACTCTTGATCACTTGGCCATAAAGGCTCTAATAACATGTCAAAAACCAAAGGCTTATGAATGGTTTAATATCTAATGAATAGAATCCCAACTAAAATAAAACAAACACATTCTAGTAAAGCAACTTAAATATATGCTATTGAGCCATAATTCATATGTTGGAAGATCAGTTACAACCCCCCCCCCCCCTCTAACACTC